CCTTAAAAATAGTTAAAGTTTAATTATATATTCTTTAGGTTTTTTGGTAGTCAAATAAAATCCTTACATTACCTTAATGTGTATGTAGCATACATGAAACCTCAAAAGAGCAAAATTTTACACATGGACAAAATACATATTCCCAAACTAGTTTTACCTCTTTACTTGATCAAATTGAGTTCTGGCTCCCTATGTTCTGCTTTCAGAATTTTAAAGGCAATAAAATTATCCAATTCTTGCTTTCCTCCTTATTCTCAACTGACATAAATTATAACATATGCATAGCTACGAGAACACTATTTGGCTGACTATGCACTGATTCAGGCCTATCCCTTTTCTTCCTTGAAGTTTCTTAAGGAGACTTGATTTCCTTGAAGTTTTTCCCCATTTCTCAGACCAAAAGGATAAAGTTTTTTATCAGAAGCCTTTTTTAAAATGTTAACATTTTAAAATGTTCTACCATTTTTTAATGATAAAAATGAATAGACTGTATTTCTAAACCATAAGGGGGCACTATTCCCAAAGCCATTCTAATGATTCCACTTGAAATGTCCCTATAACATATTTTATAACAAACGTGTTTTGTACTTTCTTCTTGCAAACTTCATTCTGCTAAGTAAACAAATATCCAACTAGTATAATTACTGTGTACAAACCATTAATGTGAGATACATTTGAGCCCAATACTCAGTTATCTTACTTAAAAATATCTTCAGATAATTCTAGATAAATCAAGAAAGTGGGGAAAGGAAAAATCCAAAATTACATATTAGTAATATTTCAATAATAGTGTGAAGTATCATCGTATGTTTCTAGACTCAACTTTGAAAATACTTTTACATCCATTCCCTCATTTGATCAGGTGTCTTATTCAATAGTTTACTTGCAAATTACGTTTGTTAAGGGTTAGACTATCATTTTTCAAGAAAAAAAAAATCCCAATTATTCTAAAACACAGCGTTCTCTCTTAAAAATTTGTTCAGTTTAAAAGTTTCCTTTTCCCTGAGTAACTGACATGCCAAACACCAGACTAAATTCTGGGAAAACAGGAGCCTCTAAACTCAATAAGATAGTTGTTAATTTTAGAAAGTCAGACAAAAATATTCATACTGGTCCTTTCTATGAGCACAAACACTTCATTAGATTCTGACCTTACCACCACTCAATAAAAGTTTATGCTAATCATAAAATGCAAACTATGCCTCTGATGTAACAAAGTACCATCACATCTATCACAATTATTACTGTTATATATTTTGTCCCAACACAACTCTTCTAGTGACCCATCCTCTCTATTTCCTTCCCTCATTTAGGTTTGTACAAAGAAACACACCTTCTAAACAAAAGTAGCTCTCAAAAATAGCTTACAAGAGGGGAGAAAGTTTTTGTAGTATTATTATTCCAAATGACCCCTACAGAAATGAACTGTAAGAAAAATGCAAAACTAAAAAAAAAAGTGAAATGTTGCGTAGACTTTCAGAGGAAAACTTCTAAGCTGATATCTTTAGGTAATCTATTCGCATCACAGATAATTCATAGGGCCTTTTCCCTAAGTAGACTAAACCCTACACTATTTTACAGTCAAGTCAAAATGCTAGAAATCTAAATTTTAACTCCTAAAAAAAAATAAGGGCATAAATCATCTTTACTTAGTGAACTGGAGATTGTTGGCCACATGCTGTAACAGGAAAGAATCACCTATAAAGATCTTATCAACTGACTACAAATAGGTTTCTCTAATGTGCTTGAAAATAAAGTAAACATTACCCTTCAAATTTTATTTACAAATGATCAGTTTGCTTGGCAAACCTTTTTCCAGATAGAAACATTCAACAAAATCAGAATTAGATCAAACAACACTGGAAGCTTGGAAAAGAATCAAAAATTATATTCTTGCATATATTGCACACTGTAAAATACTATAACCATTTTTCTAATAAAAACATAAAAAACTCAAATGATATGAAGAGGTAGTTTAGTTTTTATAACACCATTTTGCGAAGCAAGCTAGGCAGATCTAATATCAAGTATTATTTCTTGTGGTGACCTAAAAAAGAGTTCAAAATACTGTTATCTCTGGTGTCTGCAAAGAATAGTCAGTTCTCCACTTAGAACACTGACCATATCCTACTTATTTCTCTCATCTAAGTCCTAACTATGCAAAGTCAATATAGTTATACAAATAGTTTGGTGACCATTACGAATGTAACTTTCATCCTTAGAAATAATTTACAGTTACTACATTTCAAACAACTGTCTACTGAGTTTGAGGGGGTTTTTTTAAAAACAAAAATCTACTCTTTAACTAAACATACCCAATTACATTAGTGTTCAGATTAAACCTAAAGCCCTTTAGATAAAAACTTAATATATTTAGTATATCCTTTAATTTTTTAAGCATTTTAAACTCTTTGTTTTGTACTGGAGCATAACTGGTTAACAATGTTTTGACAGTTTCAAGTTGGTGGCAAAGGGACTCAGCCATACATATACATGTATCGTTTCTCCCCCAAACTCTCCTCCCACCCCGGCTGCTATGTAACTCTGAGCAGAGTTCCTTGAGCTATATGGTAGGTTATTCTTTAATTTTTTTTTTAAAGTCTGTTTTGACTTTTTAAAATGATCTTCCTCTGGATCTATTTGGTTTGTTGGGCAACTAATTCAATGACTCACAGAAGATAATGAAAAATGTTCCCCAGTCAAAAGATGTTCTCCTTACTTCCTTCCCAGTAAAATACCTTAGTCTTAGACTATATAAAAGTTAATAGAGAGCTTAAGAACCATTATACGAAGGTAAGTTGACAAGAAAAGTTAATGTTTCTCAAAATCCAGTTTCTGCTATGGAGTGTGCTTTAGGGAAAAGTAGTGAAAATTTCTAGACTTCAAGTCAGAAGACCTGCATTCAATTCCTGATTCTACTGTCTTATCAGTTACATAGCCAAGAGCATGCAACCCATCTGGGACTGGTCTCTCACCTGAACTTCAAAAAAGAAATACTTTAACATGTTTTGAGGAACGTATTTCCAAAATGTGAATTGGCAAGCACACATTACTATACATGAACTCCGACCAAACTTCTTTCTGAAAAGTTTGATTATTGGAAATTTTCTTAAATTCTCTTAAATTGCTTAAAATTCACATTAAATTAGAAAAAATACCAAAATATGCCAAAAACACTGTATCAAATACTGCAAAAAATAACATAGTAAAAAGATGGCGGAAAAAAATCTCACATCTTCCCCAAATATAAACTGAATTCTGATACAATAAAAGGACTACATCCAGATGAAGGACGGTTTCAATTTTAACCAAACCCTAGCACATTCAGTTTCAGTTAAGTAAATTCATCACCTTTTTTTTTAACCTTTATCATGGTTCTCAGGTATTTTTTTCTCATAAACACAGAGCAGGAACATTACGCAAAGCAGTTTTTCCCCAAAATGCTTATGTCAGAGCAATCAAGATCAGACCAAGAACATCTAGCAAATAATGCGGCCACCTACAGACATTTAATAGTTCTAGCTAGGTTAGGGCAAAATACCGTAAATATTAAGGGGGGCATTCCACATTTTGAGAATATAGACAATTCTAATAATATAATAAGCACAATCTTCAGCTTGTGACCAGGCCAGTTGTAAGCAAGTCCAACAACGTGAGAACTGGCGTGAGGTCAACTATGCTTTAAAATCAGTTAATAATGGCACCAGAACAATATAAACTTATCTAGTAGCCAAAGGCAAGGAATTTCAAAGTACTGATGCTTTGGATTCAGCAAGGAGCAAACTACCCTGAATTCAAGTCTGAAAGTATCTTCACTGGGCTTCAGAAGCAAATCACTGTCTTAGACCTACATTGTAACTAAATTTCCCCCAATAGGGAAAGATACCCTATTGAAGGACAGGACACCAAACCTTAGGTTCTTGTCTAAGCTCTAGTCTTGCTATAAATAACCTTCACCTTCGGTCATTTAGTACACTTCATTCATTTCTTCTGTGAGGAGAAAAGATAGACTCTTTCAAGGAATAAAAGGTAATTAACAGTGGAAAGATTAGATTTTTAAGATGAAATACAGCCAACTTTTTTGTGGTACCAATAAAATAAAATTATGTGTGTAAAACTGTTCAAGAACAATGCTTGGTACGTTTTAACAGTGTTAGCTATTATACTGATTTTCAAGTAGGAAAATATTTTAAAACCAGATCCACACACTGAATATTTAATAGCCTAAATCTTATTAGCCAGGTATTCAAACTCTTGGAATAAAGACACTCGTTTAGCCTACCAAATAATGCAGTGAGAAATTAATAACTTTAAAATCTCTTTGCTGATAAGTTTTTATATTCATATTTATTTAATCTAGAATAATCTTTATTCTGTCACAACTTTTTAAATTATTCCTCTCTTTAAAAAAACCTTGGCGACTAGAATCACAAAGTCTTCAGATCAATCTGTCTTCTGCATTTGTTTCCAATATTGATGAAGTCTGAATATTCAATTACAGAAACAATGTCAAGAGATCCTAAATATACCTTTGAAAAATGCTGTTTGGAGCCCATCACCAGAATTGTTTTGGCTAGCTATACACCATTTGCAAATGGAGATAAGACCAAAGTGTAAACTAAGAATCCTAAGAAAACAACTGATTCAGTCATCAAGAGGCAAAATGTGTGAAAAAGAAAGCGGACTCGAGAAAAAAGCCCCAAATCCTCCACTCCCTGCTTATATAACCTTGGGAAAGTCACTTGATCTCTCTGAGCCTCATTCTCTTTATCTGTAAAATGGGAATAATCCCATTTCTCTCAGAAGGTTGTTTGGAACATCAAATGAGCACACACACAGGACAGCACTTCACAGCCTAAAACGTGTAATACAAACATATTATACAGATCAATATTTTTTGCTGTTGTTGAATGAGCAGTAATACTTTAAGTTATATTCTAAATAGACAAAGTACACCATTACCAGTGTACAAAATTTCTATTTAAAAGAAAAAAAAAAACTTGCCTTGGATTGAGTCCTCTTCCCGTTCCTCATGCTAAATTTCTCCTTCATTTCTTCTAAAATTATCTTCAGTTTCTTTTCTTCAGGTGTCCCCAAGTATTTTTGGTTCACATGAAGATAGCAATGCCATTTGGCTGATTCAAAGCCCCAGTGGCAAGTCCTTTTGTCCGGCGATCTGTGAGAATGCATCACAAATGTCTGGGGCGCAAACATTCCACAGCACTCCAGACACTGAATACATGGAGCATCTGGCTGAACATAAAACTGGGGTGCAAATAAACCCTGACATTTGCCCAAGCATTCATGTTCCACTTCAAAGGCACTGCCAGTTTCCTTCAACTGGGCCAATGAGTTTTTTGCAGGTAGTATACTACCATTTTGAGGAAAGGTGCGTGGCCGCAATAAAGCATTACATAGTCTTTGTGCATCAGTTAATGTGATCAGCCCACAGGATGGGGCATTGAATGGAAGTATTCCCAGGACCTTTAAGATATGAAGCTGGTCTGATGTACATCTTGAGCAATAGATGTACAATTCATCACACACTGTATTTATTTGTTGGAGTGAAAATTCTCGGAGAACAGAATTTAGGACTTGGGGCAAACAGAGTCTCTTTTCTCCTCCAACCTGAAAACAAGAAATAGACTCCCCTTCCAACATAGTCTGGGTGAGTTCTGTGGAGCTATCAGAAGGGATGAGCAGTGGACCAGGAAGAACCTGAGGAGATGGAAGAGGCAGAAATACCGTAGGTGACATGCTTTCTTGGGAATACCGAGCAGAAAAGGCTGCTGGTCCACCCAAAGAGCTCTGACTACTTAAATGGAATTGGGCCAAAGTATGTTTCAAACTAGGATTTAAATGTAAAGGTTCAGGCACAGAGGGGCAGGTCCTCTTGACATGCTCTTCGTCAGTTTCCATTGGTGCTTCATAGTCATCCAAGTGTTCCTTCTTTACTGCTGGCAACTTGTTTATCATCATTTTTCCATTTGCATGAATGTCTGTCATCATCTTTTTCACTGGAGGGCTGCCATCATCTTCCATCCCATTCAATTTTTTATTTGCGCTCTGAACCAAAGAAAAATTCGTCTGTAGGTTTTCCATTGCTAAAAACTATTGTGTTAAACAAGTAAGTGTGAAATTTGCATTATTATTTAGTTGCTTATTTTAAGAGAGAGAATTGATGTATACCAATACTTATGGTAACTTATTCTCAAAGAAAATTTGAATTTCCAAAGAGATCCCTACACTACTCAATAGATTTTGCAACTTTGGTTCTGCTAATACTTCAGTATTAGCACTACCAGTGCTATAAAAAAATTATGTCTAATAGCAAAGAAAATAATTTTAAGAGGCACAGCTCCAAGGAAACCTTTTTGTTTTTTTTTAATCTCCAGGTATATGTACTAAAATAAAGTTACCACTTCTCTCAATTCAAGATGTCCATGTTCAATGCAACAGTTTGGTTTGGTTTTAGGCACAACACCCAAAAATTGGCACCAAGGACATCAAAAAATGGGGGGGGGGGGAGGTGCGGGGATATCTTCTCTAAAAATGATGATCTGTTGGTCTGTGTGGACAAAATGAAGGCTTGAATAAACCCTCACACCAGTAACAAGAGACTCTGACTCCACTTGAACTTCTGTGATTAAAAATGAAACCTAAAGAAAAATCTGCCCATTTATCTTCAAGGATTACTGTTCATTCTTCTTTTAATTAATCTGGAAGAGAAGGGGGTTGGGGAAGAGTTACATTTGAATTTGTTCCAGAGGCCAAAGGGTCAGTTTGAAACTAGTTTCTTAATCTTAAACTGAGTTCACTTTACCAAAGGTGACACTTGAGTGATTTCTTTAAATCTAACACCAGTTAATTAGAAGTACCTTCATTTAAATAGGAAAGCAATTGGCGAATGAGTAAAGGGAGCAGTAATATTCCTCAAAAGGGAGAGGGTTACTCCAACCCAGAAAAGGAAAAACCTTAAACAGATCATCTCACCCAAAACTCAATACTAGAGGTTTTTTCCTCAGTTATGCGATTTTAAGTAAAATAACCTATTTTAACTAAAATAACCTATTACTTCACCTCTTAATTAAAAAACAAAAACAAACAAAAAACCCACCAGTTTCACCTAAAAATCAAATACCAGTTATAACACATCTACTACACCAAGTCACAATCTTAAGTGCATAATTCATCTAGTCAGTGTACGTTATTTTTCTGGAATAGCTGTAGGCAAAAATTAACTTTCCCTTTAAAAGGTTAGCGAATTTGCTTAATGGAAGCCAAAAGCTATAGACTCCACTCCTGGGAATCTCCATCCTTGAATAAGACTAATCCGGGACAAAAAGCACAAGGCAGACAGACCTCACAAAGAATGCAAATGGAGGAAGAGGGAAAAAGCAAAGCTTCTTCTTCCACTTCCTTCTTGAAAGAAAATCCAAAAGAAATCCAGTAAACAGAAATTTCTGCCAGCCAAACTCCCAGCAATTTACCTTAAAACAGACCCAAAGGGTTAAGTACCAAGGCCACTAGCCAACGTACTGACTTTCACCCACCACAGGAACACCTCAGCCTACGCAGGCCAAGGAAGAGGGCAGGAGGCATGACTTAGAATGGGGAGCCCTCAAACCCTGAAATCCTCGGCCCACGCAAAGCCACTCACCCACCTTAAACCCGAGGCGGAGGCGGGGAGAGGAGGGCAAGGGACGCGGGACGCCTCGGGCTTGCAAGCGGGTAGTGGGAAGTGAAAGAAAAGGAGACCCCCCCCAACCCCGCCCCCCCCCCCCGCAGTCTCGGAACACCCCGGTGCCCTCCCAACACCGCCCCGCTAAGGGGGCCGCAGGCAGGACTGTGGAAATCCCCCGCGCACCCTCTCCCCGGGAAGTTCTCGGGTGTTACCCCAGCACCCGTAAGGCAGCACCTCCCCTCGCCTGCCCAGGGCAGAGGAGAGAGGGGTCAGCGGGCGGGAGGGGCGCCGAGCCGGGACCTCCCAGTCGCTGAGTGCCGACCTACCGGGTCGAGCCCGGGGCATCCCCGCGGAGCGCAGACGGGCGGCGAGGGGCGGAAGGGGACAGTGACGGGAGTCCAGGGTCGGGTCCCGACGGGTCCAGTCAAGTGCAGCACCTGGCCCCTGCCCGCGCCCATCACCCGGGATCAGCGAGGCATGACCCGCCGTGGGACACCCGGCCGCGCCCCCCCGTGGCCCCGACCCCACCCGGGAACCGAGCATCCGGACCCCCGACTACGGCCTCCGCACCCGAGGAAGCCCGACGAGCTTTGTTAACTCCCCTTGACGCCCGGCGCCGCCGTCGGGCGCCCCGGGAGCCGCGCGCCCCTAGTCTACCACCGCGTCCGCCACCCCCCCTCGAGCCGAGGCCGCACCTGTGCCCGCCGCCGCCGCCGCCGCCGCCGCTGCTCGCCCGCTCCCCTTGGCTGTGCCGGCGCCGCTCCGAACCCCACACACATCGCTACACACAGCCCTCTGACGTCACCGAGCCCTCGGCCCGCCCACGTCACTGCGGAGACACACGGCTTCCCGCAGACGCCGCCGCCGTCTCCGGCCGCCCGGGGGAGAGCGAGGGCGGCGGGGGGGGGGAGGGGAGGGGAGGAGAACTGAGCCAGCGGCGGCACCGCGCGCGCGAGCCCGCCGCCGCCGCTTCGCGGCTCCTAGCCCCTCGGGGACGCGCGCGCCGTCTGCCCTATAGTGGCTCCCTAGGGCTCCCCCAGCCCGTCGTCTGGCGCGCGCGCCCCTCCCCCCAGGCGCGCGCTCGGCGCTCCTGGCCCCGCGCGCCGTCTGGGCGGCTGGCGCGCGGCGCTGTCTGCGGTGCACCCGGCGCAGACAGGATGTTCCCTCCCCGCCCCACCCCCACCGCCGCCCTCCCTCCTTCCTTCCTCGAGTCGCCTAGCCGGCTGTCTGGGGCCGCCACCGCCCCGCCCCCGCCCCACCCGCTGCTCCGTGGAGACGGGCCAGACCCGGGGGCGCCCTGGTCGCTCGGCCGCCGCGCGACACGGAGAGAGGGGGGCAGGGCGACCGCGCGGTGCACTGTGCGCGACCCCAGCAGCCGGCAGGGCGGAGGCAAGGCCCGCCCGGCCGAGCGCCGCGGCCCGAGGTCAGGCACAGGCGACCCTCCCCCCGCGGGGCCGCAGCTGGGCCGCCCCGCCCCGGAGGCAGCCGGGTGGCGGCCGCCCAGCCGCGCCCCCCGTGTGGGCCCTGCGCGCGGGGGCTGCCCCCACCCCCGCGGGGCCTCCCGCCCGAGGGCCGCCCCGCCAGCTGCCGGCGCTGCGCTGCGCTCCGCCCCACCCCGGCGGCCCCCGCCTTGCCTGGGCGGCCTCCGCCCAGACGCCTTCCCTGGGCTGACCTTCTCCGCCATCGGGCCGGGCTGGAAGGCTCTCAGAAGTTCTGGCAAAACCGAGAGAAAACATTTTTGTCTCTACTTCTCAGCCTCCCTCCCCCTACCCCCTCACCAGACTGCTCTCTCAGTTCCAAAAGGGAGCTAGAAATTACATGCTTCTACAGTGTTTCCTGAGGGGTTTAGGATTTTGTTTTGGAGGCGAACAGGAGATGAGACGAGGAAAGCGATGACCGAAGCGCTTTCGGCTGTGACCCTTGGGGCCGAACAGAGCCGTCTCCCTTGTCGCGGTTCTGCTGTGGTCGATTAGCATGTTGAACTCTGCCAAGCTGCTCCGTCATATTTCGAAACACCAAGAAAAACCCCTTTTTTCCACCCTACCGCAAAATTAGGAACTGAAATGGTACCCCAGATCTCAGTGCACCGAATTCAGAAGACTTGGCATTGTGCCCCCCAGCCCCGCCCCCCCCCCCCGATTTTTTTCCCCTTTTTGCGCATCTTCGTCCAATTTCTTCTGGTTTTACTGCTTCGAGGTCACTCATGGGATCCACATTTGGAGCCAGCCGACTGGGAATACTCCTGTGCTCATAGATTTTTTTTTTCCCTCTTTTCCTCCCAACGGGCCTACCCGAGGCTTGCAAGCCTCTCATTCCCTGCACACCCAAGTTCCTTTCCTCCCACCCCCATCGCCGGGCTCCCAGGTCGTGCCCCCTCTCCCACCCCCCACCTTCCCCTCCTTGACTGCCTCCTATCCAGAACATGAATAATTCCGCAGCACTTCCCATCTGTTATTGCCATAGAGACAGAAGCTCAGCAAAGATAATGATGTTCTGTGCAGAGCCGGTGCGGGGAGAACAGCATCTGCGAGACGGGGGGACAGGTTTTCTAACCTTGAGAATAGTCAGAAGGCCTGGCTGAAGGTCTAGTGTGGGAGACTGGACAGTCTTGAGAATGGGCAATCTGGTCAGCCCTGGGCACTTGGCTCGTGTCTAGCGAAAAGAAACCAATTTTAGAAGCCAAAATGACAGATCTTTTTTTAAAGTGATTTCAAACTGCAATTAATGATAAATAAATATACAGGACTCATTTTATCAACCGTAGAAATAATTACTTGGTAGCACAATCAAAGGCCTAAGCAGCAGAATCAACTGGACAGTAAATAGACTTGAAAAATCAAACATTTTATCCTCTCCCCTGTTCTTTTGATTTGCTTTCCCCAGGAATCTGTTTTTTGAGTGAAGGACCTTTTGTGCCTGTAGTTTTGTGTACAGTGGTTTGAGAAATAGTGACAGGCACATGTGACTAGACCCTGTCAGGCTTTGAGGACTTTATTTTTTTTTTTTTTTTTCATTTTTCATCAAAGTACAAAATGTACCAAATTAAAATTCACTTTTCCCTTGATTCCTAAGGCCTTGGTATCAAAGGTACAGGTTAGAACTCAAGTGAAACTGAGCAGGGTACCTTTGCATAGATCTGATGCAGGTGGGAAGGTACAAGGGTTTTGCAAGCCTACTTCAGGATTTTCAGAAATTATCAGTAAAATTGATTGTGTAACATAAAACAAAAAGCCCTGAAACAAATGATAAATGGTTCTTTATCTCAGAAACAGAATTGAATGGACCCAGAGAACACAGGCCCTAGAAAAAATAATCATGGTGAGGTAATGAAGTGTTAGTCACTCAGTCCTGTCCAACTCTTTGTGACCCCACCATGGACTGTAGACTGCCAGGCTCATCTGTCTATGGAATTCTCCAG